AATATATTCCTGGCAGTTGTAATAATCAGAGACAAACAAACAACGTTGAGGCAGAAACCGACTCAATTAGCAGGAATTTGCCTCCTTCAAATTCATAAAGAAACTCCGGCAGCAGAAACCTCCGCAACCTTCAACTTATTTAGTTTGTTAAATAAAGGCTCGTTAGGCCGCCGCTGTTTCACAGAGATGATTAGATTTTACAGCCCTAATTAGCTGGGCTAGCTCTAACTCCTCTGGAAGAGTAATGGGTCTGATTGCCTAATTAGCTCTCCCTCGTTAAGACGCAGAAACAGGCCACTGCAGCAAAACTGCAGGAATGAGGAAAAATAAAGTCCGTTAATGAGAAACCGATTTGATTGTTAGGAGAACAAATCTGGTTCGGTGGGAACCGGCGGCAGCTCAGTCTGTGGTGAACACAAACGTCACGACGAAGAGAAGAAAAGAACTCTGGGACGTCGACGTATAGATTCTAGATCAGGTTGATGGAAACGAGCTCCGAAACATGAACTGAACTGAAGATTCTGATCAGAGCTGATCTGAATCAGCTGCTGCCGAGGACCACCACAGGCTCCGCCCACTTTTATCAATCACAGTTGAAGGAGCTTCAGAGAGAGGCTGTCGTAACGTGTTCTGCTGTGGGGATCTCTGTCCAGGGCTCCGTGGTGCTGATCTCTGTCCAGGGCTCCGTGGTGCTGATCTCTGTCCAGGGCTCCGTGGTGCTGATCTCTGTCCAGGGCTCCGTGGTGCTGATCTCTGTCCAGGGCTCCGTGGTGCTGATCTCTGTCCAGGGCTCCGTGGTGCTGATCTCTGTCCAGGGCTCCGTGGTGCTGATCTCTGTCCAGGGCTCCGTGGTGCTGATCTCTGTCCAGGGCTCCGTGGTGCTGATCTCTGTCCAGGGCTCCGTGGTGCTGATCTCTGTCCAGGGCTCCGTGGTGCTGATCTCTGTCCAGGGCTCCGTGGTGCTGATCTCTGTCCAGGGCTCCGTGGTGCTGATCTCTGTCCAGGGCTCCGTGGTGCTGTTCATTTCTGTCGTTTTCTTTGCCCTCCACCTCCAGCGGCTGCACCAACCTCTCCTGGTTCTTTTGCCTCCCGCTCTCCCCTCCACCTCCACCTCCACCTCCCCCTCCACCTCCCTCCGTCACTCCTGGTTGGCGTTTCCCCGTCTCCGTCCCGTGTTCCACAGAACTGTTGTCCAGTTGCGTCCAGCTGGTTCTCGTGCTCAGACCGCCCCCCCGCCCTCACCGGTCCCACTTCCACCTGTGTCCTGTCTCCTCTTCCCGTAAGCCGGGGGCAGCGTTGGTGGGGGAGGGGCAGATCCTCCCTGTCATTAGAAACGAGGGTCCATCCAGTTGCCCCCGTTGGGTCCCATTGTCACCGTTTCCCCTCGAGGTGCGGCGTGTGTGACGCGGGGTCAGGTTTTGGTGCTGACTTTGTTATTTCAGCTTTATTGCTGCGTGTGTGTGTGTGTGTGTGTGTGTGTTTGCACACACTCCTTGCAGTCCACTGCTGATGTGGCCCACTTCCTTGCATGCGTGTCGGTCCTTTGTGTGTCCACATCGTTGTGTTGCCCCCCCCTCAAACCCCCCCACCCCCTGAGTGTGTGTCTGTGTTGATAGAGGCCTTTTCCTGTTGAGAGTGTGTGTGTCTCGAGTGAAGAATGTGGGGGAGGAAGTGCTCCTCCCGGCCAGGATGATGTCATGGATTCAACTTCCTGTTCTGGGAGCCTCTGGATCAACAAAGTATTTGGTTTAACACGGGTAGTTAGCAGTAACTAGTCAACCAGTACCTTTTTGACTTTTTGTATTAAAACTCAGTGTCATTTTCTGTTGTGTTTG